CGCAAGGGAATGCCGAGTTCAAACGCCGCTGACCACAGCGGCAGCGCGCCGCTCGCATTGAAATGCGCGGCGTTGTCGTTGGCTGACCGTCGAGCAGTTTTCCGCTTGCAGTTCGCGCGTCGCTCGACGGTCCCGGTGGTGTAGAATTCCGCAAATGGGGGGCGAATCGTTTTTCGCGCGTCCATGCCTAATCTGACACAGGACCACCCACGCCGCCTAAGTCTCCCACCCTTAGCGCGCCCCCCCCCCCCGATCCGTCGATTCCCAAGCGCCCCCGCGGCGCAGGCAACCCGTCGAACGATCCCCAACCAAAGCACTTTCAGTGACGATCGACAGATGTCCAACGGCTTTCACGGTGCCTGGCGCGAAGAAGATCATTGAGATCTGCAAGCAGGCCGAGGAGAAGACCAACTTGGCGCTGTTCAAGGGGCGCGGCGACGTCAACGAGTTGACGGAGCTCCTTAAGCAGAAGGCGGAGCAGGCCTTCAACGCCTCAAAGCGCATCGACACCCAGCTGAAGGAGGCCGCGGGCGCTAAGGAGGCCGAGGACCAGTCGTGATATTTTGCATGTTTTGCAAGGAACGAGGCTCGCCCGTCCTTGCTTCGAGGGTGCGCGCCGGTGCTTGGCGTGAATTCGTATGCAATATACCGTTGAAGGTCACCAGCTACTTTGGGGTAAATATGTGCAGCGTTCAAAAAATCAGTTTCCTCCCTCCTTCCACCCTCCTCTGTCGCCTCCTCCCCAGCCCCTTCCCTCCCCTTCTCCCTCTCGTCCCTCTCCTCCTTCCACCCCTTCCTCCATCCCTCGCTCCATCCCTCCCACCATCCCTCGCTCCATCCCTCCTCCAGCTTTCTCCCTCCTCCTCCTCTTCCTCCTACTCCTCCTCCTCCTCCTCCTCCTCCCTCTCCTTCCTCCTCCCTCTCCCTCTTCCTCCTGCCCCCTCTATCCTCCTCATTCTCCTCCCTCTTCTTGCTCCTCCTTCTCCCCCCCTCCTCCTCCTCATTCTCCTCCTCTCCCTCGTCCCCCCTCCGCCGTCTCCTTCATCATCCCCCCTGCTCCTGTAGCTCCACCTCCCTGCTCCTCCTTCTCATTCATCCCTCCTCCCCCCTCCTCCTCCAGCCTTCCCTGCCCCCCGTCGTCCCTCATATTCCTTCCTCCTCCTATCTCCTCCTTCCTGCCGGTGTCACATGCATATTTGTGACATGGTTGTGACATGCATGTCGCATGCATGTCGCATGCGTGTCACATGCATGTCACGTGCGAGTCACGCGCCCGTGACATGGTTGTGACATGCATGTGACACGCACGTGGCACGCACGTGAGATGCATGTGACATGCATGCCCTCATTATCCTCCCTCATAATCTGATTCACGCTCCTGATCATGATTCCTCCTCCACCTCCTCTTCCCTCCTCATCCTCCTCCTGCTCCTGCTCGTCCTCCTCCTCTTAGTCCCTCCCCTCCCCGTCCTCCTCGTGCCTCCTCCTCCTCCTCCTCCGCCTCCACCTCCTCCTCCTCTTCCTCGTCCATCCTCCTCCTGCTCTCTCCTCCTCCCTCCTCCCTCCTCGTCCCTCCTCCTGCTCGCCCCTCCCTCCTCCCTCCTCCTCCTCCTCCCCGTCCCTCCTCCTCCTGCTCCTAGTCATCTTCATCCCTCCTTCTCTCTCTCCCCCCCTCTTAAACTCCGCCGGTCACCAGCGTTGACGCTCCAAAAGCGCGTAGATGGAGGAAGAGGAGATGAGGCGGCCATATTGAGAGCCTCTTTGGCAATCTTGGAGCGATCGTAGGAGCCTCTTGGGCTGTCCTGGAACGTCCTAGCCTCGTGGAAGCCTCGTGGGAGCCTCGTCTGCTCTCTTGGCCTCTTGGGCCTCGTGTGCGCCTCGTGTGAGCCTCGTGGGCGCCTCGTGTGAGCCTAGTTAGTCTCTTGGGCCTCTTGGGCCTCTTGGCCCTCTTGGAAGTCCTCGTGGGGCACTCTTGGGGGCTCTTAGGGGGCGGAGAGGGGCCTTGCCCCCCGGAGGGCGATACTCCCACACATAGTTGTTTTGGCACAAAGATTAGTCAGCGGCCGCTGGGGGGATCAGCCCCCAGATATGACGACAAGTGACAAGTGCTTCGCTTGCTTCGCAAGCTTTCCCACAACCGAACCAGTGGAGCTCGATCCTTCCCCAGTTCAACTTATCGCGGCCGCTGCGCGTGGCCCTGCCATGTTGTGGTCTAGACGGTCTCGGCTGGAGCCTCCGAGACATGAGCGTCAACGTCGAGGGAGTGAATGTCTGCGACATCGAGGACCGATACTCTAAGTACATGGAACACATCTTCGGTGACAAGTGCATGGTGGGGAAGGACAAAGGCGATGTCCTCAATATTCCCCTCGAAGCTTTGGAGCAGCCTGTTGACGTGGCGGGCATTGGGCCGCCTTGCCCGGGGTGGCCAGCCATTGGCGTGGGAGGAGGCGTTCTCGATAGCCGAGCAGAAGTATTCAGGATGATCATCAATTGGATCATCGCGTTTGCCAAGAACGGCCAGCTGGCATTTTTCATAGAGAACGAAGAAGGTTGCAATGCGAATCGTTCAGGGCAAGGATCGTTCATGGTGCGGGCAAAAGAAGTCCTGATCACCGTTCTCCCCAACTTCACGTTCGATATAATCGTGCTGAACGCATCTGACTACATGCTGGCACAGAACAGGAGCAGGGTCTTTTTGCGAGGACTCAGGACGACGCTCTGCCCTGAAGGGGGGGCCATCCCACCGCCGCTGGGCCCCCTGGGCCCCCGCCCCTTGAAGGACTTCCTGAACCTGTGCCTCCCCGACACCGACGTCGAGGCATTGGCGCAGCAGCAGCAGGAGAACTTGAAATATATGGAAAAGACACTGAAACAAGATGTCAAGGATAACAAGCTTTCTAAGGACAACATCGCGTGTTTCTCAATCGACCGTGCAGCGGAGAAAGTGTCGTTTAAACGATGCTATCTCACGGGCGTTGTCACCGCGCTCCTAACTGGTAACCGATACTTGCGGGTGTTGGCCATCGATGACCTCGAGGAGCCGCGCAGCAGAAGGAAACTGTGCAGGTACCTCCACCCCGAAGAAAGGTTCGCCCTTCAAGGACAGCTTAATCTTACATATATGTAAACGAAATCAGGGGGCTGACGGATAATCGCGAAGTAGCGATCAAGGATACCTCGTCTCCACTGACCCGCCCTTCCAGATCGCGCCTTCCCTCCCTCCTTTCTCCCTAACTGCAGCTCCGCCCCTTCGCCGGGGAGGGCGGGGGGGGGCCCGGGGAGGGCGGGGGGGGGGGGCGGGGGGGGGGGGGGGAGGAGGGGGGTGGGGGGCGAGGGGGGGAGGATGGAGGGAGGAGGAGGGAGGAGGGAGAGCCTGAATCTGTAATTTCACGAGTTCCGGCGGAAGGATGAGGGGAGTTTTTGGGTGTTTAATTTATATATAATATATATATTATATATATATTTATATCATCCTTCCCTTCCCAGGCGCGCCCTTGGTAGGATTCGAGCCTGCGCTCCGCGAGTTCTTCGAGGGCGATGCGGTTTCGCTCAGAGCCGCGGGCGGCGCCTATCCCGCGGGCCTAGCTGCAGCCGCAATGGCCCCGATGATTTCTGCAATCGTGAGTGGCGTGAATTTGGAGAAGTGGCCTGATGAGAGCAAGACGAGCCTTTCTCGATCCCGCATGACAAGCTCAAGATCGTTAGGGGGATGCTCAGCGACGATTCCCCAAAGAAGATCAAATGCAAGACCCCGCCAGGGAGCCCGACTAAGAGCCCTGCCAAAAGCAGCGCTGGGAGTGCTGCCCAGGGCCCCTCCGTGGACGCGAGCCCTGCCAAGACCCCGCCCAAGGGCCCCGAGAAGCAGCCCGAGGCCAAGAGCCCCGCCAAGAGCCCTAACACGCAGAAGACGAACGCCAGCCCCGTCAAGAGCGTTTGCAAGCGGCCCGCGGCCGAGAGCCCCGCCAAGAGCCCAGACAAGCAATCCGCGATCGAGAGCCCCGCCAGGAGCCCTGACAAGCAGCCCGTGGACAAGAGCCCTGTCAAGCAGCCCGTGGACAGGGGCCTTGCCAAGAGTCCTGGCAGGCAGTCCGTGCCCAAGAGCCCCGCCAATAATCCTGGCAAGCAGTCCGCGTCCAAGAGCCCCGCCGAGAAGCCGAGCGCGTCCCCTGAGCGAGCGGCCAAGGACATTCCGAAGGGGAAGGCAAAGGCCAAAGCCGCATCTGCCATGAGGAAGCGCCCGTCCTGCCAGAGCGCGAGCGCTGGCAGGCAGGCGAAGACGGAGGATTACTCTAGCTGGTTCATCCGTTCGACTGATGACTTCTGAGTGCTAGGATGTTTCAGCTGGGGCTCGCCCCGGCAAGTCTTTGTAGGCCTGGTGCGTGCGTGTCCGTAGGTGCGACAAAAACGCAACTTACTATGCATTACTTCAACTCCCCGCATCAAAAACGTACTCTCGTCAAGTACTGTCTTGAACTGGACGGCCCGATGCATCAGCGCCTCCTGCAAGCTCTTGGATGGAGGTGCGGTTCGTTTTCAAAATGGGATTCCCTCGTGTGCGCGCGTGAACTCGCCATCAATGTGAGTATTCCCAACGCTGAAGGTGTATTGCAGTATCGCCGAAACGTCCTGGAATGATTCTGAATTTCCTCCTCCCTGCTCCTCATTTCCCCCCAGGGTTTGCTTCGCATATTCCTCGATTCCCTTTTCCTCGTCATCCTTATCAGTTTTATCAACCTCCCCCCCCCCCCCCCCTGCAAATTCATCCCTCATTTCATCGCATCGCATCTCTTTAAGTTGACTATATATATATATGCATATGCCGCCATCAGTATACATGTGTATATACACGTTTGTACCATATATATATATATATATATATATATACATACAGATTGCCCATCCCCCCCGCCCGTTCTGCTTTTCCGGCTGCTCGAGCGGCTCGCGCCAGAGCAGAAACATATCACAGCGAGGCTCGCCCGCGTGTAGGTTAGGGCGCAATGGCTCGAACCATTGCCAAGTCGATCCAGCTGCGCGTCGAGTTCGTGAAGTACCGGTCCAACACGATGGAAGCCGACTCGCCTGCCTTCCTGAGTGCTTGCGAGACTCGCAAGGATGAGATCATCAAGCTTCTGCGCAGCCAAGTGGTTCCAGTCGACCAGGCCAGCAAGACCCTGAGGATGCTGGGTGCCAGGCAGTTCTCGGAGGCCCACATCAATGAGATGCAGACAGAGCTGGTGGAGAGAATCTCCGACGACCTCGCCGCCGCAGACAGAGTTAGGGGTCGCGCCGGCGAGGGAATATGTGGGGGAGGGGGGGATTTGGGCATGGAGGGTTAAGACGATGGGGGGCGGGGGAGGGCAGTGATGACGGGGGGCTATAACAATTGCAAGGGCTGAATTCCCGAGGGCCCAACTGCAGACCTTGCTGCGCCCGTGCAACTACATGGTTGCCTCGGACTGGGAGAAGCTCAAGAACCCAAGCCTCGACTTCAACGCGAAGTGCGTGGTTGCGATCAATCGGGTGTTGCGCATCGGCTGCGCGCGCCCCTCTGGGCCCTCCTACGCGGCGCTGTTGGCGGCGATTCTACTGGCTGGACATCGCAGGCCAGTCGCTGAGATGGACGTCGAGGCTAACAAAGTTATTGGCCAGCTGAACGACCTGAAGAGCAGGTGCAAGCTCTGTGCTCGAGGGGCGTCGCAGCCGCCTTGCTCGGCGCACCCCAGCGACGCGGGCGAGTTCAAGAGGATCCACGCCGACTTTTATCAGATGGCTTATAGCGCGGAGCCTCACTGCCCCAGTAAGGTCGACGAGGCGAGCGTGGATGGGCTCCGCAAGGTGCTGCCGGCCCGCAGGGCCCACGCGAGCGTCGCGGAGCCCAGGCCGCAGCCGTGGTGGAGCGAACGCCGCCGCGTCGCGTTCGAATCCAGTCGAAGCATTGCTGATGGCCCTGATGGATCGCCTCGTCGGCCAACCGAACGTCGTTGCGCCGGGCTTGCAGATCTTTGGCGACCGAGGGCAGCGGAACTCCGCGCAGGATCAACCGCGTCAGGACGGGCTTCTGGCCAATGGTGCAGCTGGCGCAATCGGCGAGGTCCAGGAGGGGGCGAGTGGCCCGTAGGGCAACGCGCTGGCGATCGAGGACTTGAAGGACAACCAGGAGGCGGCGCCCGTGGAGAGTCTCAGCGTCGAGGCCATGTCCGAGGAATTCAGAGGCACCGTGAAGCGGAGGCCTGCAGCAGCAAAGGGTGCCGGCAACGGTGCCGGCATGAAGCGCCCTGCTGGAACGGCAGCGACGCCTGCAAAGGCCCAGGAGACCGAGGAAAAGCATACCCCGACAATCAAGACCAAGAAGGATACCCCGACAGCCACGGCCAAGAAGGAGACCCCGAAAGCCAAGGCCAATAACGAAACCCCGACGGCGAAGAAGCTCACGTACCCTGGCACGAAGTACGCGGATCCAGTCCGCATCGGGGAGTTCATCATATACACCGCGGTCAAGGATCAGAAATGGAGGGTCAAGCCCTCTTGGAGCAGGGTGGACAAGGCGTTCAGCTGGAAACTGCATGACCCCAAGGAGGTGTGGTCTTGCGTCTGCGCTCACGTGGCCGACAAGAAGAAATTATCGCGAGGCTCGCCAGCGCGAGGCTCGCCGGCGCTGGCATTCTGGACGAGGTGCGCAGGCTTCGCAGGGACGCGGGCCTTGCAGACAACGCTCGACAACCAGAAAACTCTTCGTCATCATTCCACCATCCCTCATCATCCCTGTTCTCTCCTCCCTCCAATTAAACCTCCATCCTCCTCCACCCTCTGCCTCGTCCTCCCTCCTCCTTCACATGTTTTTCCCAACCATCCTGTGGTGTTGGGTCCTCGTTTTGAAGAGACGGTGGCCCGCGTCTCCTCCTCTCCTCTCCTCCTCCGCCTCCTCTCCTCCTCCCCCTCCTTCCTCCTCCCTGCGTTTCACCCACCCAGTACAGCGTTTCGTGGCCCCACAGGGAGCTCCACCGAAGGCCCCAGTGCTGCCGTCCGCATGCGTCCCGCACACCCATTTCGGCACACCCCTCACACGTTTCGTGGCCCCACAGGGAGCTCCACCGAAGGCCCCATGGCTGCCGTCCGCATGCGTCCCGCGCACCCATTTCGGCACACCCCTCACACGTTTCGTGGCCCCACAGGGAGCTCCACCGAAGGCCCCAGTGCTGCCGTCCGCATGCGTCCCGCACACCCATTTCGGCACTCCCCTCACACGTTTCGTGGCCCCATAGGGAGCTCCACCGAAGGCCCCATGGCTGCCGTCCGCATGCGTCCCGCACACCCATTTCGGCACACCCCTCACACGTTTCGTGGCCCCACAGGGAGCTCCACTGAAGGCCCCAGTGCTGCCGTCCGCATGCGTCCCGCACACCCATTTCGGCACACCTCACACGTTTCGTGGCCCCACAGGGAGCTCCACCGAAGGCCCCATGGCTGCCGTCCGCATGCGTCCCGCACACCCATTTCGGAACACCCCTCACACGTTTCGTGGCCCCACAGGGAGCTCCACCGAAGGCCCCAGTGCTGCCGTCCGCATGCGTCCCGCACACCCATTTCGGCCACCCCTCACACGCTTCGTGGCCCCATAGGGAGCTCCACCGAAGGCCCCATGGCTGCCGTCCGCATGCGTCCCGCACACCCATTTCGGCACACCCCTCACACGTTTCGTGGCCCACAGGGAGCTCCACCGAAGGCCCCAGTGCTGCCGTCCGCATGCGTCCCGCACACCCCATTTCGGCACAACCATCACACTGTTCGTCGTATGGGCCCCACAGGGAGCTCCACCGAAGGCCCCAGTGCTGCCGTCCGCATGCGTCCCGCACACCCATTTCGGCACACCCCTCACACGTTTCGTGGCCCCACAGGGAGCTCCACCGAAGGCCCCCGTGCTGCCGTCCGCATGCGTCCCGCACACCCATTTCGGCACACCCCTCACACGTTTCGTGGCCCCATAGGGAGCTCCACCGAATGCCCCATGGCTGCCGTCCGCATGCGTCCCGCACACCCATTTCGGCACACCCCTCACACGTTTCGTGGCCCCCACAGGGAGCTCCACCGAAGGCCCCATGGCTGCCGTCCGCATGCGTCCCGCACGCCCATTTCGGCACACCCCTCACACGTTTCGTGGCCCGTGACCCCACAGGGGAGCTCCACCGTAAGCCCCTGTGGTGCCGTCCGCAGTGCGTCCCGCACACCCAATTTCGGCACACCCTCACACGGTTTGCGTGCCCCATAGGGAGCTCCACCGAAGGCCCATGGCGGGCAGTCCGACATTTGCGTCCCGCACACCATTTCGGCACACCCCTCACACGTTTCGTGGCCCCACAGGGAGCTCCACCGAAGGCCCCATGGCTGCCGTCCGCATGCGTCCCGCACACCAGGTGTGTGGCGTGCCGACATGGGCGTCGCGGCGCGCGGGCGCTGCCGTCGGGGTTCCCAGGGAAGCCCCCTGCAGAGGCGAAGCTCAGAGTCACGAGTACCGAGAGTCACGCAGACCCAAACTGTTCACAGTCGTATACATACATTTACACTGGGCGTATCCATGCACGCATTCATGCGAATAGATTCAATCGCGCGCAGATTCATTCATAATCAGACTCGCTCGCGATCCGACTCGCACGCGCTCAAGCTTTCATATTCGGACCTATCGTCTTCGTTCGTGTTGTGTACACTGCCACGCATTTCGGCACACCCCTCATACGGCTCGTGGCCCCATGGGGAGCGCCACCGAAGAAGATATTCACAATTGCGGTACTCTTAACTGCATATGGTTGGGTCCTTCGCCAGGCTAATTTTTCGCTCTCCCCCACTTCCTTGCCCGTGTATTTCTCCTCCTGCCGTAGCTCCCCCTGCTCCCAAGCGGCCCCAAGAGGTTCCCAAGAGGCCCCTGAGAGGCCCCAAGAGTCCCCCAAAAGGTCCCCAGGAAGCCCCAAAAGACCCCCAAGCTCCCAAGGGGCCCCCAAGATCCTTCCAAGAGACCCCCAAAACGCTCCAAAAAGACCTGCAGGAGCATCCCTGAAGACTCTGACCCACGTCAGCGTCGTCGTCGCCGCCGTCGTCGTCGTCCTCCTCCTCCTTCAGGGTCGGTGGCACAGGCCGTAAGGCCTTATACACAGGCAGACAGGCAAGAGAGAGAGGGAACGTGATGGAGTGGTGTCAAGAGAAAGAGAGAGAGAGAGAGAGAGAGAGAGAGAGAGAGAGAGAGAAAAAAAGAGAGAGAGAGAGAGAGAGAGACAGAGAGAGAGAGAGATAAGCAACAACAAAACACATAAACATATAATGAAAGGCATACTCTCAAGAGGCAGCATGGAGGGCCAGCCAGAGGAGCAGGACGAACCTCAGACTGGGAGGGCGAGAAGGTGAAATGGAGGAAGAGGAGGAGGAGGAGGAGGAGGAGGAGGAGGAGGAGGAGGAGGAGGAGAAGGAGGAGGACGAGGGCCCACAAGGTGAGGCGGAAGAGAACAAGGAGGGCTCGAGAAGGCGGGCTGGATGAGAAAGGATGGGAAAGGGCATGCCGATCGCATCTCTGCTTCTTCCCGGGCGCTGCCGACCCCCCTCGACGAAAGCCGACGCTGCAGCTTTTGACAAAGTCACTCCGCCTGCGTTCCGCTCGCCGCGCTTATGCGACGAATGCAACGCGAAGCGTGTGAAGGGTATGCCGAAATCGGCGCGGTGCCGCCATGCAAACCCTGCCGCAAGGGCCTTCGGCGGCGTTCCCTATGGTGCGACGAAACGTGTGAGGGGCTTGCCAAAATGGGCACGGTGTCGCCGTACGGACCCTAGCAAAAAAACCTTCGGTGGATTTCCTTATAGGGCCACGAAACGCGCGAGGCGTGTGTCGCGATGTACTTGCGGGGCGAAGCGCAGTCCACCATGAAAAGTTATGAAAAATGTGAAAGGTTATACAAGAGTTATAAAACAGTTAGGAACAGTTACAAAAGAGTTATAAAACAGCTATATGTGTAAGTTAAACCACAACTCATAACCATATCAAGTGAACAGATCAACGAAGTCTGGGGCCACGAAACGTGTGAAGGGTGTGCCGAAATGGGTGTGCGGGACGCATACGGGCACACCCACTGGGACCTTCGGTGGAGCTCCCTATGGGGCCACGAAGCGTGTGAGGGGTGCGCCGAAATGTGTGTGCGGGACGCATGCGGGCACACCACTGGGACCTTCGGTGGAGCTCTCTATGGGGCCCACGAAGCGTGTGACGTGGTGTGCCGAAATGGGTGTGCGGTCGGCAGGGGGACCACCACTGGGACCTTCGGTTGGAGCTCCTGTATGGGGCACGAAGCGTGTGATGGGTGTTTTTGTTTTGTACCGGATGGAGTCGTGCGGGACGCATTGCGGGCACATCCATTGGGACCTTCGGTGGTGGAGCTCCCTATGGGGCACGAAGCGTGTGAGGGGTATGCCAGAATGAGGGGTGGAACCGCATGCGGGCGCAGCCACTGGGGCCTTCGGTGGAGCTCCCTATGGGGCCACGAAACGTGTGAGGGGTGTGCCGATATGGGTGTGCGGGACGCATGCGGACGGCAGCCATGGGGCCTTCGGTGGAGCTCCCTATGGGGCCACGAAGCGTGTGAGGGGTGTGCCGAAATGGGTGGTGGGGAGGCATGCGGACCCTGCCACTGGGGCCTTCGGTGGAGTCCCCTATGGGGCCACGAAACGTGTGAGGGGTGTGCCGAAATGGGTAATGGGGAGGCATGCGGACCCTGCCACTGGGGCCTTCGGTGGAGCTCCTTATGGGGCCACGAAACGTATGAGGGGTGTGCCGAAAATGGTGCCGTGCGGGACGTCAATGCGGGCACACCCACTGGGACCTTCGGTGGAGCTCCCTATGGGGCCACGAAACGTGTGAGGGGTGTGCGATTATGGGTGGATGGGTGATGGTCGATGATGATGGTGGGAGGAGGAGGAGGAAGGGGAGAGGAGTAGGAGGGGAGGAGGAGGAGGAGGAGGAGGAAGGAGGAGGAGGGAGGAGGAGGAGGAAGAGGAGGAGGACGGAGGGAAGAGGAGGGGAGGAGGGAGGAGGAGGAGGAGGAGGAGGAGGATGAGGAGGAGAGGAGGAGAGGAGAGGAGGAGGAGAGGAGGAGGAGAGGAGACGCGGGGACCGTTTCTTCAAAACGAGGACCCAACACCACAGGATGGTTGGGAAAAAGGGTCTCACAAACCTCCCCGCAACGCGGGCGTGAACCTTCAGAAACACTGTGGTATCCTCCATCATGAAGCCTTTGGCCAGTCCAGAAACCAGCAGAGCAGAGGTTCCAAAGCAAAGCTTGCCCCATATAGTCAAAATCTTCCCCCAAACGAGTTTTCTCCTGTTTGAGGACAATGAAATCACCCCCCGAGGCGATTCCATACCCATGGTAATGCTTGGCAGCCTGGTTCCAGACCAGGCCATTGCAAGTGGCTCTGACAGCGCGCCGCGAGGTCACAGCAAAATCAAGGGCCTCAGTGTAGATGTTTGTTCCAAAACTATCTCGCCAATGCACAGGAGACAATGGGCACTGGCCCAGATCAAGCACGACAGCAACCGTTGCGGCGATCGGCCCACGGACCCGTTTCCAAGCCTGGTTCCTGGGAGTGCTGGTGTATTCTTGAAACCGAGCTTGCTAAACTTGGGAAGTACGTATGTTCTCCTCATCAGTAAAGGTTTCCAGATATTCACGCATCCACATAGCTGTTCACGCAGCAAACGAAAAATGGGGTCTTTTTGCTCAGCCCCGAAGACGCTCAGGATGGTGGTGGAGCAAGCTCTGGCATGCCAGTGGCCAGAGCAGACAGCAGCCTGCCCGCGCGCACTTTGAACTTGGGCCCCACAAAGGCCAGCAACATTGTGACCCAAGGTGCCTACAGCCATCACGCCTGGCTTGTAGAGCTTGGACGATGTCTTGACCAGAGTAGTCAAGTAGCGCACATTCTTACCTCGAGCTCCGGCTTTTCACCGCCTGGCACGAACCATAGCAGCAGTCCTCCTCCTTCCTGCAGTGGTGGCGGTACCCAAGTCACGAATTACAGCATCAACTCTAACTGGGAGGACTGCCGCTTTCAAATCGCTAGCCACACGAAGTGCAAGGGGCCGTCGGTTCGCGACAACCGCAGACCTATTAGATAAAACAAGTGCGGCTGCATGGGCCGAATGCCCTAGATGAGCTGCTGCGGCAACGATGTGCCGTCGAAATTGGTCTTAAGATTTCTAGCACATCTGAAATAGATCGTCAACGTGAGACCTGGTAGACACACCAGGATTCACAAAGCAATGCCGATTATGCACGTCATCCAACATCTGATAGATATACACCTTGGCCCAGGACATAGACTGCATGCATCCGAGGAGAACGCCAATCCCAGCAGGTATGACCTGGAACAGAGCCACGTGCACGAGGTGACCCAGGTACAGGAGGTGCGGTGGGAAACTCGAAGCAGCGGCAAAACGTTAGGGATAATAGTCTCAAAACAACTTCTTGAGATCCCAGTGGGTCGCAGCGCTGGAAACTTCCTGGAAAGCAGCAAGCTCATGGGGCAGCTCTCGGCGAAGCGCAGCTTGGAGGGCCAGACTGCCCTTGATGGCATCATCCCAGGAGTCAGCGTGGTCTTGACTCCGCGCAGCCAGGACGTCTCCCGAACCTTGCAGTAGACGCGGTAGAGGGTGGGGCATTTTTCAAACGGCTCGCTCATCGACCTTGCTCTTGGGGAGCAAACAGATAATCACAGGGAGGGTTTGGGCAGGCCTCATCATATTGGCCTTGCAGTCGTTCGAGAGCCCGACGAGTGCTTCGGCGGCGCCAGACTCCAAATCCAGAAAGTCCCGAGGCCTCCATCCGTCGACGCCCACCGCCGTAGTGAATGACACGCGGGCCGGTAGGAGCGAACAGTCTTGGAATGATTGTTGTTGTCGTTGTCGTTGTCGTTGTCGTTGTCGTCGTCGTCGTCGTCGTCGTCGTCGTCGTCGTCGTCGTCGTCGTCGTCGTCGTCGTCGTTGTTGTTGTTGTTGTTGTTGTTGTTGTTGTTGTTGTTGTTGTTGTTGTTGTTGTTGTAGTTGAATATTATTCCTTCTAAAGAATTATTATTGTTGGGACCCCTGGTGCGCGACCTCTGCGCCGCGCCTAGGCCGCAGCTACATTTTCATCATTTTTTCGCGAAAGCTTCAGAAAAGTGGATTGTGTCCGGATCCGGTTGTTTTGTTGTAATCCGTTTTCCCTTGCAAAAAACACTATAAAATGAAAATTCTTGTTCTTACTTGATCAAATTGCAAGAATCCCTTGCAAAAAATAAGGTAAAGTGGACATTCGTGCGCGCAAGACGAAATCCTTCCAAAACCTTAGGTTTCGTAACGATTTTAACATAAAAACATCAAAAACCCAATGGTTTTTTAAGAAAAAATTGTCAACATGTTCTTCCGCGCGCTCTTGCGGATTCATAGGAAACACACCACTTTTTAAACATTTCTGCCAAAAGGGTCTTTGCGTGCTACTTCTTCAGGTGCTTTGAACTTCTCCAACAACGGTTGCGCGCCTGCGAGGGCCACCATCCCTTGCAAAAAATGAGACGAAGTGCACATGCGCGCGGCCGCCGCGCGCGCATGTCGAAATCCTGCCAAACACAATGGGTTTTCAATAATTTCAAGATGCGATGTTCAGAAAACATATGAAAACGCACTACTTTCTCATCCGAAAAATCTCGAAATCCATTCGCGGTCTCTTGATGAATCTTTAAAACCCAAGATGGCCCCAACAGGCGCGCAAGATGCCCCAAGAGGCGTCCATGAGGCCCAAAGAGGCGCCCAAGATGGTCCCAAGAGGCTTCAAGAGGACTCCAAGAGGCCCCCAAGAGGTTCCAGAGAGGCTCCAAGGTGGCTCCAAGAGACCCCCAAGATGGCCCCAGGAGGCGTTCTAGAGGCCCCAAGAGTCCGCCGTGAGGGTCCAATAAGCCCCCAAGAGGCCCCAAGATGGTTCCAAGGAGCCCCCCAAAGGCTCTCAAGTGGACCCCAAACCGCGCCAGGAGGCTTCCCCCCTTCCCCAAGAGGACCCCAAGCGGCCCCAGGAAGGCCCCCGACTGCTGACGCACATATCCGTAGCCATCTCGGATCAAGGTATCGCCTGTGTTCTTGGATCATGGCTTTGACGGCGAAAGACCTTCACGAGCAGTATGGCCCTGAGCTGTCGCGGCCTCCCTTGGCCGACTGCGAGAGTGCGTATTATTTGCATCAGGCGCTCCGGGCAAAGGGTATCAATGCTAGTCACCAGGCGTGCAAGACTTGGTGGGCCAAGTATCGGGTTGTGACTGGCACGGTCAGTATTTCTAGCGCCAAGGAGCTGGAGGAGCAGCACGGCTCTGCCATCCGCCACCTGGGCATTGAGTATAATACCGCTTTCAAATTATGCCGGGCGCTCCGACAGTTGGATCCACCACTGTATGTGCCAGATAGGGTCGCAACGGCGTGGCTACTGCAGTATTCATCCAAAGACACGCTTGTCCAAGTGCAGAACGCTGGCCACTTCGAGACCTGGTATGGAGAACGTATTCGCAAAGACATGCCCGAGGGGACCACTGACGGGGCCGTCTTGAAGCAGTGGCTCCTGGGACATTTATCTGTATCTGCTAACGCCAGGGTATGCCAGAAGTGGCTCAGCACGGAGTGGGGCGCCAAGGTAGCATTGAATACTGCCCAAGCTGTGGAGGAATGTATGGGCGAGCGTCTTCGACTCAATCAGTATCGGGAGAGCTTCGCCGACGAGGCCGCTGCGGAGGTCCTCTCGCAGCTTCTCTCGGAGAGCGATCCTCCCGTCGCTGTCAGCGGTATGGTGTTGAGGCAATGGTACGTGAAGTATCACCCTGACTCTGGACCTTTGCAGTATGACACGGCCGAAAAGCTCAACGCGGCACTTGGTGACCACATGCGCGCGGTATATCCAGGGCTGAAGTACCACACCTTGCATGCCGTGTTGCGTATGCGACGGAAAGCTGTCTTGGTGTCCCGCTCAGTGTTGAGAAAGTGGTGCGATGTGTATGCGTCGGTGGGCGCTTCAGTGCAGGCGGCGGCTTCATCCGCCGCAGGTCCACAACGTGCTCGCGTTAGCACTGCCGTATGCGAGCCCCGGCTCTCCCGCCAGCAGGCGTATCGGCAATATCATTGGCCATTTGGGAGCGCACGGGTATCAGCCAGGCCCGCACCTGCATCAGCCAGGCAGCCATGTACACAAGCGTATTTGCGACGTCGCAGACGACGAGTCGCCTTAGTATGCTTTGTGTATATTCATAGTGTGACTGGACCTGTTTGCGAAAGCAGGAGAAAGTATGAGCAATGCATGCGTCATCCTTGGGACTGTCTAACAGCAGAAACAGCAAACATTGCATCGCAGACGGACAGCCATCGGGACAACCATCGGGACAACCATCGGGACAACCATTTGGACAAGCATCGGGATAACGATCGGGACAACCATAACCATCAGGACAACCATCGGGGCAACCATCGAGACAACCATCGGGACAACGATACCTTCACTCTTGTGTCCTCCCACATCCCTCAGGAAGTTGCCCTAAAGATGTGACCGACTCCTCTCTCTCCTTCTCTCTGTCTCTCGCTCTTTCTCTGCTTCATATCTATCATACGTAACACATCTACTTGTGTTATCGCCTTCCCAGGAATTTGCCTCAAAAATGTGACCAACTATCTTGGCACTGCGTACCATCTCACGTGTACCGTGTACCACGTCTTCTCAGGTTGCCTCACACATGTGACGAATCTCTTTCTATCTCTCTCTCCTCTGGCTCTCTGTCTTGCTCTCTCTCTCTCTCTCTGTCTCTCTGTCTTGCTCTCTCTCTCTCTCTGTCTTGCTCTCTCTATGTCATGCGCAACAAATGCACGATGCGGGGCACATGCGGGGCCCAAACAAGTGATCAACCTCTGCGGGTGTGTACTCCACGCCAGTGTAGTATCCACGATCGTCCGCGCGCCACGAAGTGAAGTGTCCTGACGTCATAGGGCGGGAAGCTGGGTGTGGGTGGTTCCCGAGAGTCGTGTGGATGTTTGGTAGAGCTTGCATTGCCCCCACGAAGTGGGGGTATTGGCTGGCGTCGCATGAAAACCCTGGCACTGGGGAGAACACTGAGCGTTCGGGTAAAATGATTGTTGTTGTTGTTGTTGTTGTTGTTGTTGTTGAGTGTTGTTAAACAACTATTATTGTTGGACCCCTCACAAGCGCCCTGGCGCTCTCGCCGTGGCGCCGGCTGCGTTTTCATTGAAAATGAGGCTCTCTCTCACGCGGTTTGGGGGACTGCCAAAAACGGCCGCCCAACAACAACAACGCTCCCGTTCGAGACCCGTCCTTTTTTACCCAGTGCCGGTGCTCTTGTTCGCCGCCGAAAGCAGCCGTCTCAACAAAACCAGCGCTCCCGCTCGAGACTTCCTCCCGCTTTACCTTGGACAGGCGCGCTAGTTTTTCTCTCATCGGCGCCGCCCCCCAGCAACAACAACGCTCTCGCTCGAGAGGTCCTCCCTTTTTTACTCAAGGCGGTGCTCTTGCTTGCCGCCGACAGCCCCCGTCCCGACAAAACCAGCGCTCCCGCCCGAGGAATTAATTGAGTTTAGAATGGACATGGCAGCACCCTTTTATCACTCATAATCTCATAAACAGTACTAGTACTAGTTACTAATACTACAATTAAATATAATAATTGTAATAATACAAAATCACAATAATGCATAAAATTAAGAATAATATTTAATAACTCTTACTTTAAAAAGAAAAATAATCTTTACATAAGCCACTAATAATTAATAAGTAGAAGTATTTAATTTAAATAAGAAACAATACAATTTATAATATGACTCAATAATAATAAAGAATCTCGAAGAATAGTAAGACCGAGGACCTCATTATAAAGCCTCTTCCTCCCCCTCCTCCTCCTCTCCCTCCTCCTCCTCCTCCTCCTCCTCCTCCTCCTCCTCCTCCTTTTCCTCCTCCCCCTCCTCCTCCCTCTTTCCCCTCTCTCTTCCTCCCCCTTCCTTCCTCCACCCCCTCCATTTCTCCCTCCTCCCTCCTCCCTCTCCCGTCCCTCTTTCCTCCCTCCTCCTCCCTCCTACTTCTTCCTCCTTTCCGTTTTCGTTCCCCTTGTCTCCTCTTTCCTTCTGCCTCCCTCCTCCGTCCTCACTCCCCCCTTTCCCTTCCGTCCTCCCGCGTCGTTCCCTTTTGATGCATCCTCACCTTTTGCTCAAGGCTGGGGCCCTCGTTTCACCCTCGCCCCTTGGGGGACTGCCAAGTGTCCCTGTTGAACCTTAACTGTTGAATATCAATCGTTTTTTGGAGAGCATCGATAATGTGGGGGAGGAGGAGGAGAAGAAGGAGGACGGATGATTTCCACGGGCTCCAAGGATCGATGGTCGAAGGATTGACTTCAGGGACTCTTTGAAAGGATGTGGGGGGGCAGGTTGAGGATGCGAGCATGGGGGCGGCAGCGCCTGGGGGCGTGAACGTTCAGGACCACGCGCCGAGGCCGCAGGATGGTGGCGTAACAGTTCGCGAACGGGGGGTATAACCACTACAACTACTCCTCCTTCCTCCCCCTCCTCCCCCTCCTCCCTCCTCCTCCTCCTCCTCCTCCTCATCATCATCATCCTCATCATCATCATCCTCTCCTTCATCTCCCTCGTCTTCCCTCCCCTCCTCGTCCTCTTCCTCCTTTTCCGAGGTGCGGCGGCGTGCGCGAGGCGATTGCGATGGTGATGTGCCGTCCGAACTGTGGATCCCGAAGTTCCTCGGGAGAGGTGGTGGCGATACTTTCTTGGGCGGGATATCTCGGCGAGGGAATGTCGGGCCCCGCGCGCCGGGGCAATCCCCCTTGATGGGGTGTGGTATCCATAAGGATGAGTGTGGCATGTGGAATCATGGCGCATGATGGTAACATGGTTGTTGTTGCTATTGTTATTGTTGTTGTTGTTGTTGTTGTTGTTGTTGTTGTTGTTGTTGTTGTTGTTGTTGTTATTGTTGTTGTTGTTGTTGTTGTTGTTGTTGTTGTTGTTGTTGTTGTTGTTGTTGTGGTTGTTGTTGTGGTTGTTTCTGGTGTTTTTGGTGTTCCCGACCCTCTCCTGATTCCGCATTGCCCCCCCTCGTTATTCCCCTGCGTTTCCTCATCTTCGTCGTCCTTCTCCTCGCCCCCTTCTGTTCCCACTCATTGATCACCCGGTTTTTCTTTCCTCCTGATTCCCCCCCCCATCGCCCTCCTCCGTTTCTGTTTTTCTTTCTCGTCTTCACTCTCGCTTCCCTATTTCTCGTTAGTTGCCCTCGCCCTTCTCCCCCCCGCATCTTTCGGGGCGAGGGAGGCGAGGCGAGGAGGAGGAACGCGCGAGATTCGCAGCCAGGACAAACGCCAAGCTGTTGGTGCATTTGGTCGGTATCATAGTTTAGCCAGTCTGCCCTATTTTGGGGTGGACCAGCGGGCATGGCGTCTTTCTGGGGATATACACTTGCTATCGCTGATTATATTCCACGTCCCTGTCCCTCTTTTCATATGTCTTCTCTGCTGCTGTTCCTCGCCCGTGCCCTCCTTTTGATTATTTTTCTCTTCCCGCCCCCCTCCCCTTCCCTCCACATTGTTTGTCCCTTTTCCTCTTCCCCCCTCCTTCCCCCCCCTGGCCCCCTCCTCCAGCCCTCCTCCCACTCCTCCCCCTCCCCCTCCCCCTCGCCCCCTCCCTTCTCCCCCTTCCCCTCCCCCTCCCGATCCCACTCTCCTCATTTCTTCTTCCTCCACTACCCCCCCCCCCTTACTCGGCCACTTGGCCGAGCGGACCCGAGGCATCGGCGGAGCCAACGGGTCTCGGGGCTGCCTCATACGGGAGCAGCGCCAGGGCAGGCTATTCGAGCGGCAGTTTGCGGCGCCCGCGATGAAAACTGGCGACCGCGCCGTCATGCAGCTGGCCGTGACGGGTCACTTGTCGTGGTTCTCGTCCTCTTCGTCCGAGTCGTCGTCGTCTTCCTCTTTTTCCTTGCAGGAAGAGGAGAAAGACACAAAGGAATCCTCGTTGTCCTTGTCGTCGTGATCATCGCCGTCGTCATCGTCGTCGTCCTCCTCCTCGCTGTCCTCCTCCGATTCCTCCTTTGTTTGCTCGCGCTTTGCTCAATACGTTGTCGAGGGATGGAAAGCAATTGCAAATTGCTCACGGCTCCCACTCCACGGGGGCACTTGGCCAGCGCTTCTCCCATCAGCCTTGATAGCATCTTTCTTCCCCTTTTGTCGTCATCGGTCATGGCTGGGCGGCTACCACGGAGCAGTGCGGAGAGTATTGCTTCGCAGTGTACCACGTGTCCCTGAATCACCAGCGCGCTGTCAACGTCACGCAGTTCTGGTACGATTGCCACAGCAATCCGATAAACGGCGATAAGCAGTTCGGCACGTGGTTTCCAGGGGCGGCGTGGAAGAGAGGAAATATCAGAAGGGAAGGAGAAGTGAAGGGGGGAGCGAGGGAGGAATGAGGAACATAAGGATGAGGAGGAGGCGGAGGCCGACGGAGGAGAAGGCAAAAGGAGGATGAGAAGGAGGAAGGGGAGGAGGAGGAGGAGGAGGACGAGGAGGAGGAGGTGGAGGAGGAGGAGGAGGAGGATGAGGAGGAGGCGGATGAGGTGGGGAAGCAGGTACGAGAGCCGGAACGGCTGGTGCCCTGGCAGCGTGGAGCCCGGCGTATACGTCGACGTGACCGATTCGTTGCGGTCTGGGGCGGCGAACCACCTCGCGTTCTCGGCGGCGGTTTCTTCCCTCGAGAGCAGGGGGAGGAGGAGGAGGAGGAGGAGGAGGAGGAGGAGGAGGAGGAGGAAGAGGAGTCCTCGTCCTTCCCTCCCTTTTCTCGCCTGCTCCGTCTCAAATATGTGTTTTTCTAGCGCGCGCCACATAGCATACAATCGTAGAGTCAGTGGCAAACATGTGCGGAGAGCCAGTGGAGATCAGGCGCGAGATCAGCAAGGGACGAGGGAGAGGAATCGAAAGAGACCCAACGAAACACCCCTTCCTCCCCCTTTCCTCCGTCCCTCCCTCCCCCTCAGCCTCCTCTCTCCTCCTCCTCCTCCTCCTCCTCCTCCTCGTCCTCCCCTACTCCCTTGGTGGAAGGAGGAGGAGGAGGAGGAAGAGGAGGAGGAACGTTTAGGAAGGTTTAGTTTAACCAGAGGCCCAATTTGACCACGCACCCCAGACGGGGGAAGCGAACACCACGCAGACACCGAGGCGGAGGAGAAGGAGGAGGAGGAGGACCAGAGGAACCCAAGATGCACCATCGATGTTGCAGTGCCCCTGGCCGTCCAAAGTCCTTCGCTGATGCGTTCCTCCGAGTGTTCCTTTTCACTGTATCAAGTGACCCCAAGAAGCACTAGCAAAATACAGGTCTGCCATTTTGGGGATGGCCCCGTTTTGAAATGGATGTGCCTTGCGTCCTTCAAGCGCGTACTCAGGACTATGACGAACTGTGATGGTACAGATCCGCGAGTGATCCAACGATATCCCCCTTCCGAAAAATGAACCACCATCGGTGTAACTGCTACATACGTTTACACTTGTATTCGTGAACGTCGAGAAAATCTCAACCGATACTTCCATTCTGAAAATAGAGCCGCTCTCGATCCGTGCAGTGCTACACCTGTTGAATTTTCGGTCTATTAAGTTCATGAGGTCGCAATCGAAAACCCCATGTTGAAAGAGAAACGTCTGCCATCCTTCCAACTTTTGCGCGGTGCCAGGGCGAGTTCGACATTTTGAAAACGATGCGTGGTCTATCTTTGTAACTGTTACAGGCTTTTGAGACGATTGTGTGCGGCGCTAATGGGCGCGCACATTTTTTTAATGGAACCCATCTCCATCTTTGAAGCAGTTGCTGACCTTTTAAGGCGAATGTATGCGGCGGCCAGACGGGAGCCCCATTTTGAGACCACCCCCCTCCATCCGTGTAGTTGTTGCAGACTTTCAAGACGAATGTGAATTGTGAAAAAGACCTGTGGTCTATTCCAGAGGCTCGCGCAATTCCGCCGACCTCCAGAAGAGGGAACACGTCCATGGGTGAGGCCTTTTGGGGCCTCTTCGGGACCGTCCGGGAGCCTCTTTTGGGCCTCTTGGATGGCCTCTTCGGGCTTCTTGTAAGTTTCTTGGGCGCCTGCTGGCGGTCTCGGGGGTCCTCTTGGGGCAGAGAGCTCGGAATACCAGTTCGAGTTACCTCTCTTGGGCTCCTCTTGGGGCCCTGTTGGGGCCATCTTGGGCGCCTCCTGGGCCGTCTTGGCGGCTTCTTGGGCCGTCTTGGAGCGATCTTTGGGGCCTCTTGAGCCGTCTTGGGCGCTGTTAAGACCAAGAGAGCGAATCTGCAACACATTGACGTTTCTCCAGAAGGTTTTTGACGATTCTTTCTTCTTTGGGCCCTCTCGGGGAGCATCTTGGAACCCTCTTGGGGTGTCTTTGAGGCCTCTGAGGCAGTCTTGAGGCCGCCTTGGTTGTCTTTGAGGACTCCTTGGCGTGTTGGAATTCAGCGTGAGCCAGCTTAGATAGCACCTTGGGCATCTTGAAGGCCGCAGAGGGTTGATTTGGAAGCTCTGGAGGCCCCGGGGCTGCGTTGACGAGCTCCCCTCCCCCTCGGCCACCGGGCGGGGGACGGCCAAATGTCTCAGACGCCTTTTCACCTCCAGCAAGCGGGGGTCGGCGGATCGTTGTAGTTGTTCCAGACTTGAAACGGATGTGCGAGGCTTTCAGGCGAGAGCCCCACTGACAAATCCCCCACTCCATCCCTGAAGCTGTTGCAAACTTGTAAGTCGAATGTGCGCTCCGCTCAGGCGAGGGCCACATTTTGAAGACCGCACCCCTGAGGAGGAGGAGGAGGAGGAGGAGGAGGAGGAGGAGGAGGAGTGACGGAGGAAGAGGATGATCATGATTATGATTATGATGATGATGCTGCTGATGATGATGATGATGATGATGCTGATGATGATGATGATGATGATGATGATGATGGTGATGGTGATGATGATGATGATGATGAGCAGGAGGAGGAGGACGAGGAGGAGGAGGAGGAGGAGAGGACCAGTGGAAGCCCAAGAGTCATCAACGATGTTGGGATAAACCCGCCCTTCCTCGTCATAGGCCCCTACAACAGTTCATGTCCAAAGAGGGAACTGGCTCGTTGGAGGACAAGTGTTTGAAGACCCTGAAGCATGCCAAAGCATTGTTCTCGGGATTCCAACGCCACGGATCGACCTGATTATTGCGTCTTGACGATCTTGAATCCTGCCAGAGCGCCGTTCTTGACACTTGAACGCAACGAAGCGTTGTAACTGTTTCACCCTCATACTCCTGAACCCTTCCAACACACAATTTCTGGTACGCTGATCGTGGGAATCCACGAGACAGTTGCAATGTAAAACATTAGCCTGGCGAAGGACCCAACCATATGCAGTTGTGAATATCGCAATTGTGAATACTATCTTCGCTCGCGCTCCCTATGTGGCCACGAACCGTGTGAGGGGCGTGCCGGGATCCGTGGCGGGGTTCACACCGCGAACGAAGACGACAGGTCTGTGTGCGAGAGATTGAGAGCGGGGGAGCGCGAGTGAGTTTGATCGTGAGTGAGTCTGCGCGCGCGTGAGGCTACGTGCATGAATGTCGACGCCCATGTCGGCACGCCCCTCGCAAGGGTCGCGCCCGCTTCATTCCATTTCTTAATCTCCCTCTTTGCCCGTGCGCGCCAAGGTCCAAGGCTGCGGGTGCGGCGCCGCACGGGGGCCCCACGACGCACGCCGGTCGCCCCGAAGGGGTCCCAGCGACGCGCGCGGATCCGCTGCGCGGAGCAGAGAGCTAGCTGGCCCGCTGACAGCGGGCAAGGTTCTGGCCGCCAAAATGGGGCGGGGCCTCGATGCGAACCTTGCCACTGGCACCCTCGGTGGAGCTCCCCACGGGGCCACGATCCTGGTGATGGGTGTGCCAGGATGCGGCGGGGCCGCCATGCGAACCCTGCCGCTGGCGCCTTCGGTAGAGCTCCCTATGGGGCCAGGATCCTCGTGAGGGGTGTGCCGAAATGGCCAGAGGCCAGGCGGGCCTTGCCATTGGGGCATTTGGTGGAGTTTCCCATGGGGCCACGATCTTCGTGAGGGGTGTGCCGAAATAGCCCGAGGCCGCCATGCGAATCCTGCCATTGGAGCTTTCGGTGGAGTGTGCCGAAATCGCCCGAGGCCGCCATGCGAACCTTGCTACTGGCGCCTTCGGTGGAACTTCTATGGGGCAAGGATCCTCGTGGGGGTATTGCCGAAATTGCCCGAGGCCGCCATGCGAACTTTGCCAGTGAAGCCTTCGGTGGAGCTCCCTCTGGGGCCAGGATCCTCGCGAGGGGTGTGCCGAAATGGCCCGAGGCCGCCATGCCAATCCTGCCATTGGGGACTTCGGTGGAGCCCCTACGGGGCCACGATCCTTGTGTGGGGTGTGCCGAAATGGCCCGAGGTTGCCATGCGAACCCCGCCACTGGGTCTTTCGGTGGAACTCCCCATGGGGCCACGGAGCGCTGTACAGGGTAGGCGAAACGCAGGGTGGAAGGAGGAGGGGGAGGAGGGAGGAGCGGGAGGAGGAGGGAAGAAGGAAGAGGAATAGGCGGGAACCGTGTCTTTAAAACGAGGGCCCAACACCACAGGACGGTAGGGAACAACGAGTGTGCGCGGCGCTACAGCGAAAACCACATGTTGAAAAGGAACCGCTCTCAATGTGTGAAGCTCTGGCAAATGTTGAAAACGAATGTGCGCGGCGCTAAGGCGAGAGCCACATTCTGAAAACCACCAGCCCTAAATCTTTGAAGCCCTTGCAAATGTTGAAAACGAATGTGCGCGGCGCTAAGGCGAGAGCCACATTCTGAAAACGATCCGCCCTCAATCCGTGAAACTCTTGCAATTGTTGAACAATTCGTGTGCGCGGCGTTAGGGCGAGAGCCACATTTTGAAAACGATCCACCCTCAATCCCTGTATACCTTGCCAGTTTTCAAACGAATCTGCGCGGCGCTATGGCGAGAGCCACATTTTTAAAACGACCCGCCTTCCTTTCGTGAAACTGTTTTCATGTTTTAACGCTTCAGGGTCATACGTGGTGAGGGAGTCTGAGGCGAAACGCCCGGTCCGCCCTAGAAACGGGTCTCGGGATGCGACAGGGAGAAGTATGTTATAAGGAAAAGGAATGGAGGAGGGGGAGGAGGAGGAGGAGGAGGAGGAGGAGGAGGAGGATGAGGAGGAGGAGGAGGAGGAGGAAGAGGAGGAGGAGGAGGAGGAGGAGGAGGAACAGCATGAGGAGCAGCAGCAGCAGCAGGAGTAGCAGGTGGAGCAAGAGGAAGAAGAGGAGGAGGAGGAGGAGGAGGAGGACGAGCACGAGGATCACCGGGAAGAGGAGCGGGATGAGGCGTGGAGGTTCGACGTGGCGGTGTGGTCCAACGCCTCTGGCGCGTACGAGCAGTACACGGACTTCGCCGGCTTCAGCCTCGCCGACAGGGCCTCTCTGACCGTCGGCCTTAATCTGTTCGTGTACGACCAGTCTACGGTGCGCGCGGTGCTGGCCCAGGCCACCTCCTCTTTTCGATCCTTCGTCCGCCCTCTCCCCTCCGCACATCTTCCTCCACGTCCTCCTCCCCCTTCCCCTCCACCTCCTCCTCTTCTGTCCCTCCTCCTCCTCCGTCCCTCCTCCCCCCGCCCCCTCTCCTAACGCCGACTCAGAAACCACAACGAGCATGGTCGACACAGGTCGAAGTCTGCAAGGCCGCCGACGGGTAGGTGGGGTCGGGGTGCCAGAGAAACGCCCCTCCCTCTCCCAGCCATGGCTGGCCACTGGCCAAGGAGTAATAGCTAAGGAAAGCGAATCCGATGGCCCCCCAACACATACACACGCCCACCCGTAGGGCTGTAACGCGCTCCACAGCAGGCCTCCTGCGATCAGCCTCTTGGACCTATGGCGCTTCTGGCCTTGTGCACGGAACGGATCATGCTCTGGCTGCCTCCAGAGGAGGAGGAGGAGGAGGAGGAGGAGGAGGAGGAGGAGGAGGAGGAGGAGGAGGAGGATGGGGGGTAGGACGAAGAGGACTAGGACGATGACGAAGAGAAGGACGAGAAGGAGGAGGAGGAGGAGGAGAAGGAGGAGGAGGATGAGGAGGAGGAGGGGGAGGACCAGTGGAAACCCAAGACTCATCAACGCTGTTGGAATACATCCTCCAAGCTCCCCCTTCACTTGCTCTTACAAGGGCTCATCACCACTGAGGGAACTGCCTCGTTGGGATTCAACTGTTTGAATTCACTGAAGCCTGCCAAAACACATCTCGCGGGACTCCAACGCCACGAATCAACCTGACTGTTGCGTCTTGACGATGTCAGAAACCTTGACGATGTCAGAAACCATCAGCGTAACTGTTGCGCCTTCACAACCCTGAGTCCTTCCCAAACACCGCTTCTCGCACGTCGACCATGTGACTCCGTGAAGCTCATGCACATGTTTACAAGACGAGTCTGCGCGGCGCTTAGGCGAGAGCTACATTTTGAAAACGGAACCGCCCCCAATTCTTTAAAGTCTTGCAGGTGCTTAAGACGAGTGTGCGCGGCGCTAAGGAGAGAGCCACATTTTGACACCAACCGCTTTGAATC